CTGTCTGCCTGCTCTCTGAGTCTGTCTCTATTTTGCTTATTAGTTCAGTTTGGTCATTAAATTCCACATATTAATGAAATCATATGGTACCTATATTTCTCTGACTGGCTTATTTCACTTAGCATAATGTTCTCCAGGTCCATCCAAGCTGTTGCAAAGGGTAAAATTTTGTTCCTTTTTAAGGTCAAGTAGTAAATGTACCATAGCTGTTTAATCTACTCATCTACTAGACAGACACTTGGGCTGCTTCCAAATCTTGGCTATTGTAAATAATGCTACAATGAACATAGGGGTGGCATATATTCTTTCAAATTAGCGTTTCAGGTTTCTTCAGATAAATTCCCAGAAGTGGAACTGCTGAGTAATAAGGCAGTTCCCGTTTTAATTTTTTGAGGTAACTCCACACTGCTTTCTGCAATGGCTGCACCAAACTGCATTTTGTTTTGTTAACACATTTCCTTACATTGAATCATCTTTGACTTCATGAAATAAACCCTATACAATCATGACATATTGTATCTATCAACTAGAATTTATTTTTCTTTCTTTAGAATTTTTTGGTATAATATACATAAATGAAACCAGCCTACAGTGCTTTGGCAATAAACTACTGTTGGATAGTTAGAAGATAATGTTAAAAATAAAACTAATAATTCTTATAAAGTGCTATTCATAATAACATATGGATATGAATCATTTCCAAAACATAATACTAAGTTTAAAAAAAAATTTTTAAGGAAGGTCAAGAGAAGATACATAATTGGCTATGGCTTCAACAAAATAAAGAAAAACAAATATGGGAATATAGTCAATAATATATTAATAACTATGGTGTCCGGTGGATACTAGACTTATCATGGTGATCATTTAGAAAGTTATATAATGTCTAATCACTGGGGGGTACACCTGAAACTACTATAACATTGTATGTCAACTGTAATTGAAATTTTAAAAATTTAAAGTAAAATAAAATAGTAACACTTTAAGAACATTAAGTAAAAGGGACAAATCCTATATCTTTTACTCTTTAAATGCTAATAAAAACCTAGATGGTCAACTGTTCAAGTTATATCATTAAAATCAATGGAAAGCCTGGCCGGCGTGGCTCAGCGGTTGAGCATCGACCTATGATCCAGGAGATCATCAGTTCCTGGTCAGGGCACATGCCTGAGTTGTGGGTTCAATCCCCAGAATGGGGCGTGTAGGAGGCAGCCGATCAATGACTCTCTCATCATTGATGCTTCTATCTCTCCTTCTCCCTTCCTCTCTCTGAAATCAATAAAAAAAATTAAAAAATCAATGCAGAAAAAGGCCAGTTAATACTAGTATTAGTATTAGAAAAAAAATGGTTCTGTAGGTCTCAGCTAATAATATGGGGAAATAAATTAAATAACTGATATAAATGTCCAACAATAATTCACAATGTATTTACTTGGAGATATGACATTATACAGAGAAACAAAAGTATCTTTACTTAGAGATGGTATGATGATATACACAGAAACCTCTAAGAATCTAATTTTCTAAACCTACTAAGAATGCGTGGGGAGAGATGATATCCCATTAAAACTACCCAAACCTAAATAGACCTGCCATATAATTCAGCAATCCTACTTCTGGGTATATATCCAAAGGAAACAAAACCATTATCTCAAAGAGATAACTATACTCCCATGTTCACTGCTGCATTATTCACAATACCCAAGGTGTGGAAACAACCTAGGTGCCCATCAAAATTTGTGACAACACAGATAAACCTGGAGGGTATTATGCTAAGTGAAATAAGCCAGACAAAGAAAGACAAATACTGTATGGTATCACTTATATATGCACTCATTTAAA